TATAAGTTGCATCAACGATTTAACAGACTTTAATTGCAGTGTTCTTAATCTTTATAAGTTAGTAGTACTGTTCGGGTTTACAGTGTGGGGGCGTGTTAGAACGAGCCGTTTTAGGTAGGTGTGGCTGACTCTTAACTTTGATAAAGAATATCTCTTTGGATTTGAGACTTTAATCTTTGCAACTTTACAGATCTTCTTTATGCACCAAGAGCTTGTAACACTCCAAAGAGAAAGGAAAACTTGAAATCGCATCATATGACCCCTTTAAGAATAGCAAACACTTTTTTTGTATGAAATGAAATGTTGTTTGAATATGCAAATGATGCATTATCCTATTAAATATGCACTAATTTGCACACACATCCAAAACAGAAACCTGAACTTTGGATAAAGTCAGCCATACATATACATGTTTTTGTGGCAAAAACTTATTTTAAATATGCTAAATAAATATATGCTGTAAACAGTGAAGTATATGAAATATATTTTTTAAATTAAAAATATATTATTTTGTTTCAACTTACTAAAATATATTTCAAAATGTAATTAATTATTTATTTTTATTTAAATGTGTTCACATCTGTTATAGAAAACTAATAAAGATTTTATTAGGCAAAGGCAAAATTTATTTTGAATGCTTTTTAAAATATATATAAAAAAAATATATACAAAAAAGTGGCCAAAATATATTGGTAGAAAATGTTTACGAAAATATATTTAGAAACTTTTTTTTAGCAAATATACATTTTGGGCAATTTTTATATATTTTTAAATACATTTTAAAATATTGTAATATATTTTATATTTAATAATATTTAAAGATAAATTGTTTGATTTTGTTGACATATTTAAGGGTTTTTCCAGAGATGATTTTGGATTTCTCTTTATATCACTCCATAAATCAGAAAATACAGTCAACAGCCAGAAAACAAATACATTTTCACCATGTTGTTAAGTTTGCTGTATGTAAGAGAAAGAAGATATGGATTAAAACTGAAATGCAGATAAACACTTAAGGTTTTCTTTGCACTAAAAACATTATGAAAACCCCAAAATCTCCAAATTCATTCTCGTGTCTGTAACTATATCGTTTGTGTGAATCATCATGTCCACAATAAAACATGGATTTACCATCAATTCAGCTCTGTGTACAAATAACTAAAACCTTTTACAATTGTAAACAGGCCTGTAGAATTTAAATACCCAAATTTATATATTTACATACACAAATTTACATGCAATCCAAAGGTTTGAGAGCACTAAAATGCTTCTGTCTAATTTATACACAGCATTTGTGCATTACAAAATGTATCATTTATATGTATTATAATTATATATTATCAGCATATTTTGAGTGAATAGTCGAGGTGAAAAATGTCAGATATGATAATCAGTATTTGGTGTTTGTCTCTTGTGCTTTAATGACAGCAGCACTAAAACCTGGTGATGATGAAGATGATGATGAAGATTTGTTTCAAAGAACATCTCGAGCTTCACTTTAAGTTGTCTGTAAGAGTCACATGACACTCATTTACTTACATTTGATTGGTCACTAGAAATACTGCATTTGATGTCCTTTATTTGATTTAAATGTTTTAAATCCTAAATCTTAAATAAAAAGGCTTTTGAATCACAGTTCACATGCAGCTTGCTTTAATTAAAAAAACACACACACACACATTTGTTATAGTTTATTAACGCCTCGTCACCAGAAAAACGCAACTTTTCTAATCAAACTGATGCTCAGACATTGTATATGCTTATTTCAATTTATGATATTAATCAGGAAATGAATAAAAATGCATTCAAAACTGTGCTCTGTGAGGGATTCAAGAGTTGATTAAATGCTAAAAATGAATTTAAAAAAATATTTTTTTTATACATAATCATATTAGATAAATACATAAATATTATATTTTTTGCAAAATTATTACCTGCATGTCATGTGACCATTAACCTAAATCAGAGAAATTTAATTATTCTTAAATGTCAAATTATTGTAATATTAACTTGTTAATGTTAAATGTTTGTCAATCCCTGAATTAACCCATTAATCAACGCCAGAATTTAATTTACAGACCATTCTAAAAAAAAAACAAAGCTTTTAATATCAGATCAATTCAATCAATTCTGTGATACACACAGCAGAGGGCAGCAGAGCGTCACGATCGGACTGAACCGGATCAATAATGGGGACCTTGTGTCCTCGCTTTCCTCCAGAATGACTGGTTTTGGGTTTGTTTTCCTATATCTCTACAGTCCTAATTCATTATATCTACTTGAATTTACATTGCTTTGACCGCTCACTGTAGGTCGCGCCTTCTCACGCCACGATTGGTCGATTATCACAGCGCTTGCATGCTATTGGTCAAACTAGTTTTCAGCCATTGCATTCAGCAAGTATGAAAACAATGGGATTTTATGCAATTAAGAAATCTTTTTAAACAACAGAGGGCACATGCACGCTGGGATCAGCATCAGAGACCCACCTGCTGTATTAAAGAGTTAGTTAATATTTGACACGTTGTAATCACTTACTGTGAGGCTTTGTGGATCAGGAGAACTGGTGTGACGTCACGAGGCTCCTGATGTCATTCATCTGAAGGTCTGGATCTCTCAAACAGGTTTATTCTCTCTCTCTGTAGATCCACACCAAAAACAAGCTTTATTCAGAAACATGAACTGGTTTATGGCAAGTATAAGTCCTAAACAAGGCATTAATGACGTTTACTGAACCACTGACTTGTGTTTGTCACACAAGCATGCATGTATCTTACACAGTTTTACAATAAACTAATAAACGTAATGTGATGCATATGTGTCATACATAAATGAATTAATATGTGCTGTAACTGTTATGTAATGATACCTAATGCATTAATGCATCCTTCAGAAATCATTCTAATATGCTGATTTGCTGCTCAAGAAACATTTCTGATTATTATCAATGTTGAAAACAGTTGTGCTGCATTTGTGGAAACTGTGATGCATTTTATTTTTCAGGAATCTTTGATCAATAGAAAGTTCAAAAGGACAGCATTTATTTGAAATAGAAATCTTTTGTAACATTATAAATGTCTTTACTGTCACTTTTGAAGTTCAGGTGTGACGTTTACAGTCATGTGACGCTGATTGTGATTCTTCAGTATTCAGTTCAAGTACACTGCAAATAAATAAATAAATAAATAAAATAAAAATGCATAGGTTTGATTTTGGCATTGCTGGGGACATAACTGCAGACAACAGACATTTAATTGTTTGATCAAAATGATTGCTAGGGACAATTTAGTAGTCACTGGATATTGTTAGGATCATGTCAGAGCATCTCTACTAAACCCTACAGCCTTTAAAACCATAACAAGCGATGACTAACTTTATATAGTTCTCTCCTTAAATATGAAGAGGTCAAACAACAGATTAATGAGTTACTCCAAATTTCACAAAAAACTTATGGTCGTGATTATAATATAAGTCAGACATTGAGTTGCTGTTTTGGTCTTGTCATGAATCCTGTCCATGGACTTCCGTTCAATCACCACCAGAGGTCACCCTTCCACCACAGTGACTCTCGCACAACACAAACTGTTGCATGTCATCCCGGACTACATATCCCATCAGCCATTGCACTGATTGCACACAGCACTTATTGCATACAGCACTGATTGCACACAGCTGTCATCTATCACACATTCACTATAAATACACTCACTCAAACAACCATTCTCGGCCGAGTATTGTATGCGCTTATCGCCAGCAGTGATAGCTACTCTACAGAGCCCTCTTTAGCTTCCTAGCCTAGTCTTGCCTTGTCTGTTTTCTCGGTTTCTGATCTTTGCCTGTTTTCCTGGATT